TTTGCCAATACAATATTTCTCTTTTTAATTATTAATCAGAATTATATGGCTATAACTATTCTAGAGGTACATTAACATCATTACGGAAGCATGAAAAGAGCTACTGTTTGTATCTATCATAGAAAGTGGAATTAAAAACATTCCCAAATATTCAGATATGTGGTTTTCCAAAGGCCCGTGGGATGGTGGTGGTAAAATGCAACCAGTATCTTAGAGGCACTGAACTTCTTTCCCCATCTGGAATCTACCAAGTCCATACTGGCCTCCCATTTTCCACAGACACCTATGGATTTGACATTGCCTCTTTCTTGTTAATTTCAGCAAATAGGACCTAAAGCCTTTCTTCATTAATTGTAAGAAGCGTAAAGGGCTGGGTTAGGAAGGGCCTCAAGGACCCTTGCAAGGAAGTGTCAAGAGGGCAAAGCAACAGAACTCAGTTGCCGTCACTGCTGTAGTTTCCTGACTTGTTTCCTTTCTTTTCATCTGTCCAGAGTGAGCCTCAAGGACTGAGAATCAGGAGGAGCCCCGGCTTTGTCTAGCGTCTGTGCACCTGTGCTCACTCTAAATTCCCTCTGTTAAACCAACTTTTCCCTCTGTGACCTGGCCGTGGAGGCTGTAGTGTCAGGCCAGTGTGCTTGTTTTTATATGCAAATAAATCACTTGATTATATTTCTTGTCCTTATGTTATCATGAATATTTCAAATGAATTTTATATGGTTCATATTTATGGTTTGGGAGCTATTTTACTTTTTGGCTCACTGCCGTCTCATCTGCATATACCATATCTCAGCTGATGTTGATTGGTCTAATTTACATATTCATCATGCTCCTATTTTCAAACATATTTTGTTATAAACTGGCTTTTCTTCCCCCCTCCTGTGTTATAATAGCACATAGATGTGTTTTTAAATTGTACTCATTTCCATACATAATTTTTCTGGTTACCATAAATCACCACATTGTCACCTACTCCCCCCACTTTATTCAGTACAATCTTCACACTTTATACCAAGCTGACATATGGCTCCAAAGTAATTAAAGACAATGTAAACAGTTTACAGTGCACTTTGCAAAGCCACTTCACATTGCAGAGAGTTTAATGATTTCCATTTACTCCCAGCAAGTCCCAAAGCAACGAAGAGTTGGGAGGCTTGAGATAAGGATGCTGATGAAGGCTAGAACGTGAACAGTGGCTCTGTCATTGTTAATGGGGAAGCTTCTGTTTTACCCAGAAGACTCTCCTGCTAACTTTTCACAAAAACAGAACTGGGTTAATGAACCAGGAAGACTCATCTGCGAGGGTTAGGAAGTATACTCAACTTTCCTTTCTTTTTTGATAGAAAAAAGCATGAATCTTTTGTAATTGTAAGGAGGAAGAGATGCAAGTCCATCAGTGTTATGGATACAGAATGGGAAGTTAAGGTGCTAGACAACATTATGAATGAAGAGGTATCGTTAACACTTATACAGCTAGTTGATAGTTGGATGCTCATACAGCATGGGGGTGAGGGAAATAAAGATGTGCAATCTCAGAATCTGTGAAATCTAGTTAAGTCCATGAACACAAAGCACATTCTACTTTGGAATATCCAATAAGAAGCTAGAACTAATGGGCCAAGCAGTGATTTGATTAATACAGTATCTGTGTGGCTATTTCAGTTCTGGATGGCCAGGATGAACAAGCAACCTCCCAACAATAGGAATCTATAGGCAGATAAGCATGAGAGTCTATGCAGACACTGGTAATTATATGGTCAAAATTAAAATACAGTCTAAGATAAAAACTACATAAGAAGCTATGTGCAAAACTTGTGCTGTGAACATTTGTTAGACTCTTTTCTGTTCTGAGAGGCAGAAGAAAATAAACTCTCAACAGGCTTAAGGAAAAGAAGGGGATTTAATGGTTCATTTAACTCAATGTTCAGAGAGAAAGAACAGCTTTAGAAACAACTTTATTCAGGTTCTAGTGTCTTTAGGACTTGGGCTCTCTCTGAGTCTTTCCTTCTATTATGTGAGTTTTATCCTCATCAACACCCATAGTGGATAGATGGTGACAATTGTCTGTCTTCACTTCTTTGTGGCATTCTATTCCTAAAAAAAGATCTGACTTTTTCATTGCTCAATTCCATGAAAGCCTCAAGATTTATGACTTGCTCAGATTACAGAAGCAACTCCTCTAGCAGTCACTGAAGCTAAGAGACGCGGTGTTCAAACTGCCTGCCACCTAAGTTATGAGCTCATCTCCAGAGCTGGAAATGTCTCCTTCAACCACATGTACTTAGTGTGAGGGAGAAAAGACATACAAACAAAACAATCTGCTCTGCTGCGGGGGTGCGTGACATAGTAGAAACTCTGATACGTGGGTAAACAAGGTCTGCAAAAAAAAAAAAAAGTTCCACCATGAAGAAGAGCAGTGTCTGTGTGGTTGGGGAAGACTTCTCGAGGAGAACTGAGAGCTGAAGGATAGCAGGAGTTTCTGATTAGCATCCTCATCACAATAATTATTGTACTTAACTTTCGCTGAGGACTTCACCATGTGCCAGGTACCAAATGAAGACTGCTGCAATCAGCACTTTCCCCATCCTCTCCCAAAGTCATTAGATCTGGCAGTATTAGTTGTTGCTTGAGACCTTTGATAATTAGACAGTTCTGAGAAATCTGTAGCCAAGTCACAAGTGAGTGCAGGTGAAGAGGTGACTGAATGGGAGGGAGGAAGGAGGGAAGGAGAGGGCATTCTTTCAGTGGCATTCATGGTGAAAAGAGAGGTAAATGTATGGTGGGAAGGGAACATTTAGGAGAAAGTGTTTCCCTTTTCTCCTTTCAGTAAGGATAGGAGAGAAACATGGTCATATGCAGAATGAATTAAAGAGATTTACCTAGAGGGAGATAGTGGAGATGAAGCCAGTATTTATTAAATGGAGGAGGTAGGTTAAAAAAATAAAGACTTTTACTTTAGGTGAAAAGGATGGTCGTAGGAAGGAGATATGAGAACTTAGCCATGACAAAACAGGATGTGAGAGAGTGTGGGGAAGGTGATCCTGTGGACTACGGGAGCAGGTGGCTTCCTGAGACCTGCGGGATAGAGGGTGACGCTTCAGGGTAAGAAGAGATCAACGGCAAGTGTAGTTGCACTTTATACCTCATTGCAATTGGCTCAGCTCACTTATAAAGACAAGAGGCAACAGATGCCATGTGGCGACACTGTTACTGGACCAGCTGCCTCGTTGCCTGTATTATTGTTATGTCCGCTCGCTTTGGCCAGCTCTTTAACCATACAATGGTCTCGTTGATGCTGAGTGTCCTGTGAGGGGCCAGCCATATTTGCCAGATAAAATTTTATGAGGTGGGTTATTTTTGAAAGTCATTATTTTTGTATCTATGCTAGTGGTAGGATGTTTGGGGGATCCAGGAGTGCTTCTAGTCCATCTAGTTAGTATATGTCACATCATTGGGCAGGCATTGGCTAGTCTACCAAGGAACAAATCTCGCAAACTCTATGACTTTCATGGTAAGCTCTATTAAGATGAGTGCCTGTCCTTGTGTTGAATGTCTTTACCAGCTGAGAACACTGGAAGACAGAACATGTTAAGCTGAGCTCTCAACTAATATGACAATGAAGGTCTCTTTCTCAAATACAGAATGAGGAAGCAAAGGCCTTAAAGGCAACCTCAAGATTACATAGTCAGTTTTACGGAAGCTAGCAATTAACCAGGACTCTGGCCACTGTCTTGCAAGCAGATGGTTTAATCATGAAAGCATGGGGCTTTCCTCCCTACTTTGTGTTCCATTTGTGAATAGATCCTGTTCTCTCTCCCCTGGACATCAGCAAGAAATTGTCTTAAAGTGGGGGGACCAACTAGGTGGGAAAATCCTACAGCTTCCAGGAGAAACACATGAGCTGGAGGGTAGCTTTCACCTTGTTGCCATAAAAATATTTCCTTTTCTGAAAACTCAGTACATCTCTAACTGTATCTACTGACATGTAAGTATTGAATCCTGGCTGTGTCATTGTGGAGAGCATGTCTCCCTTCTAAAATCCTCCAGGGAAGCCAAAGGCCTTCAAAGGAAGGGCATATTAATTGTGGTGTGAGAGGATTCACTCTGGGTTTACTCTTGCACCTCGCCTTGAGAAAATTCCATTTGGAGTCTACTCTATGTTAAACTACATCAATAGAAGTCAGTGTTTGCTACAGCAAAGAAGACTTCTTGGCCAGTCCTGCAAATGTTCTCAATACTTACACATGTTTGAAAATCAGTGACTATTAATTGTGCATATGACTCAGAAACCAGAAGTCTAAATGCTAAGGACAGAGACGTCAGCCCTTGCTGTTGATTCAAAGCTAACCAGAGCTAGTAGGAGGATGTCTTTAAAAGAGAAAGGCTGTAAACAGAAAAGAAAATGATTCCTTTTATGAGTTATCTAATCTATGGGCCCTGGAAAGTAAATCATTTTGCAAAACCACACAAGAGTGATGGAATATTAGCAATTCTTTCTAACCACCATTGGTAAGAAGCATGATAAGAAAGGAAAAGGGAAGGCATGCAAAAGATTTTTGGAACACCCAGTGACTTTTAAATGCAGTTCTTCCCAAGGAATAGAGGTTCTAGGATGTGTTCTTAACCACCAGATCTATAGGTGCTCAGGACTTACATACAGCACTATAGGGCTTATACATAACATGCATAATCTTCCCACATAGTCATGCATACTGCAACATAAATCAATTTTAGCTTACTTGAAATACATAATGCAATGCAAACCTACATAAATAGTTGTATTATTGTGTCAGTTATAGAACAACAATTGTAAGAATTATACACATACATATACACATTGGAATATTTTCTCCCAAATACGTTCAACCCACGCTTTGTTGAATCTACAGATAAGGAGTCATTGAAAAGGATGGACACATGTATAGAACATCATGTTAGACATGGCACAAGGTCACCACCCATGGCCCACTTGGGGCATTCACACAGCAACATCAGATACCTACATTTTCTCTAGGTCCTCAAATCCAGAAAACGATCCTTTTGGGATGACTCGAAGCTTGGTGAGCACAAACCTCCTGGAAAGAGAGTGGGTATAAAGCATTATAATCCACCGGATCATAAACAATTGAGTGCTTGATGAATTCCATCAGGTAACACAAACACACATGGGATTCCTGCCACGAGAATAAGGCTTCAGATTGTTTCCCATTGTTCCCTTCCTCACAGAAAAGCACTTGTCCAGGTTCTGTTTCAAGAAACACCGAATAGCAGAGATGAGCAAGGGTTGGAGCCAAGGCCTGCCTGTCAGTCATGAGACCCTTCTACACATTGTCCTCCACTCATACTGAGCTGACCTTCCATCCCATTCATCAGGGGAAAGGGGAATCAGGAGGAAAGTTTTGACTGTTCTCACATGTTCACTACAGTGAGCGTACCTGCTGCCAGTCCTCCTGGTACCATGGGTGAGCTGTCCAGCATCGTGCCCAAGAAGAGTCCCTCCCACCCATACGCCACCATTTCCCTCTCCTCCAGGAAAACACTCCAGCAAATCTCCCCGCCTCTTTCATACATCTCATGCTTGTATGTCCCCCCTCTGCTGAATTCCACCATCCATATACAAGTATGTCACTGTTTTCCCTGTTCATGAAATCCTCTCTTTGCTGCAGCCACTTCTGGTTTTCTGACATCTCTTTTGTTTGAAATGTCTGTCTCACCCTTGTGACAAAACAACTCCCATAGGGTCCTGCTCTTCTCCTGACTCAGGGAAAATACAAATTGCTTACAGTGGCATTTCGAACCTCACATGAGCTTCCAGCTCTCTGTTCTCTAGCTCTTTTAACCTCTTTTTTGCTTCAAAGTTTGCTAAACAGCTTAATTAATAGTAAGAGTTTGCAATGCATGCGCTCAGTAACATTTTTAGGTTCATCCTCCCATCATGCCCGCAGACAGCCTCCTGACTTGCCCCTCATCTTCCATTCTCTCAAAATTCACCTTCTCAGCTGTGTTTTTTCCGACCTCTCTATGTAAAATGACAACCCCCCTGACATGTCCCCTGGCCCACTTCCCTGCTTAAAATTTTCCTCATGATCCTTCTGGCATGTTGTACATTTTTCTTTCTTGCCTGCCTGTTCACATAATTGTCTCTTCCCCTTGAGAGGCGTGAGAGTTCCACGGGGGCAGAGACTGTTTTCCGAGTTGTCACCTAGACCTGACACATCACAGCTCTCTCTGAATGGGTTTTTACAACACTGGTGCCTGACAGGAGAGCAAAGCAAGGAATGTTTAGGAAATGCTTCAAGCACAAGCTGCCTTGCATGCTTAAAGTCGGCCTGGAGTTTCAGATGTTCTGAGCTGCAGTGTGGGCATGCAGGCCTTTTCTCTCCTGGTGTTTGAGCTTGGCCATTGCATGCTCCTGCCCCGTGATGAGAAGCCATGGGAGAGACCAATTCTCCTGTTTCCTACCACTTCTGTAGCTCTAGTAACAGGCTTCTTTTCTCAAAGTTTCAAGGACCACGCCTGTGTTAGGTTGTTCAAGGTTGTTAAAACAATTAAGATTTTTAAAAAGTCTATAAAATTTATTATTAAACACTTGAAAAACAAAACAAAAAGCAGCTCACACAACAGACCCAGAGTCTATACATCTCAGTGAACTTCTATATAGTTGAATAGTCATTTGGAATGGAAGCTGTGTAGGGTCACACTGGATTTTACACTCTCAGTTCTGAACATATTTTTATGTGCGTTTACACTTGAAAGCAATTTTTAAAAAGAACAATTTTCATTTTTTTCTCCAGAAGTCTTAAATAAATCATAACAGATATCACTTTAATATGTATGGCTGTGCTTGTACAAAAGTGTCAAAAAAATTCTCAAAAGCCCAAAGTAAGAAACTGAATCCCAGATGTTATTCTAAGCAAGTTTGAGTTCAAATCAGAATCTGAAGAGGGAGGGGAGAATGAGTTTGGTTTCCAGATTTGGTAACCAAGGAATTTGTATATGGATGCCAAACTGGTCTGCCAGGTAACAGAGGGTAAATGCAAAGTCTCTGCCAACCTCCTCTCCTCTCCCTTCCTCTCAACCCTCGCTCTTATAGTCATTCTTTCCCCCTTATCGTATATGCATCCCAGAAAGAAATGAACAGGAAATACAGGCTAGTCAATTTTCATTGAAATAGCACCCAGGAAATACTCCATAATTTGTGGAAAGCTATAAATCCTCAGATTCAGAAAACCCAAGCTATCCTACAAAAAGAAACCAAATTTCATTGCTAGATATCTGAGAATAAACACTATGGATCTATAAGAGAAAACATTTTTAAAGCAAAAAGAGAGAAAAAGATAAAATATCTTCAAAGGGAAAGAACTAGAAAAATTTGTAAGAATATCTTCAAAACTATTAGAGAAAAGCAATTGTTAATTTAGAATTATGTGACTAGAAAATTACCATTCAAATATGCGGGTAAAATAAAGACAAAAGGATAAATTTAATTAAACACTAGAAACTTTTAGCTAGATAATTCCTTTAGATAATAAGAAAACTTAATTCAGTAGGAAGACAGACACTCATATGCATACACACACTGTGGAGTCTAAAAATTAGTACCCTTCATTGACTAGGTGGGAATTCATAATAGTCAGAAAACCCACCAAGTCAATAAGCAATACTAAAAGATATTGACCCTGAACTAAGTCACAGAGCAAATTAGTGTGAAAATAAAGAACTTTCTTGGCAAGAATGCAATTGCTCAGTCACTTAGAAAACTGTAGAAGATAATCTACTCCTTCACCTCAACACACATACACCCATATGGAAAATCAACACAAAATATTAGCACTCCTTTAAATCACACAAAGAAGAAATTACAATCATAAGAAGATTTGGGGTAATATAAGAAAATAGAATATAAGTAGTTAAGCTCCTGCTCATACACAGCTTTCAGCTTTAAATTATTATAGCATTAGAAGGGACAGAAAAACAGAATATTAATGAGCTAAGCTTCTGTCAGAAGAAACCAGCAGAAGATGGATTGAACTGTTGAAAGAGAAAAAACCGTAAGGCAGTGTTTCCTCATTCTATTCCCGGATAGAATTTAAAGTGAAACCCAAAAGCAGTATGACAAGAAACATTGGCGTGATTATTGGTATTGATTGTCAGCTTGACAGGATCTAGAATCATGTAGAAGATCCTTTGCATGTGTCAGTGAGCGAGTTTCTAAACTGTTAATTGCGGTTAGAAGTCCTTTCTCTAACTGTTGGTGCAATCTTTTAATTGCCTGGGGTCCCAGACTGAGTAAAAAGTAGCAAGCAATCTGAGCACTAGAATTGATCTGCTGGATTCCTTGCCATGAACACAAGGCAACAAGCTGCCTCAGGATCATGTCACCTCATGAGCCACTGATACCTGAGCTGATGTCTTAGTCAGGGTTCTACTGCTGTGAAGACATCATGAGCACACCTCCTCTTATAAAAGAAAACATTTAATTGGAGCTTATTTAAAGTTTCAGAGGCTTAGTCCATTATCATCGTGGTGGGGAGTCTGCTGGTATGTATGGGAACATGTTCCCGGAGAAGTAGCTGGCAGTTCCATATCTGCATCCACAGGCAGCAAGAAGAGAGGGACTCTGGATTTGGAATGGGCTTTTTGAAAAACTCAGAGCCTACCTACCCCCAATGATATACTTCTTCCAACAAGAGCACACCTCCTAATCTTTTCAAATGGTGCCTCTTCCTGGACCAAGTATGGGGGCCATTCTCATTCAAACAACCACAGTGGACTATCCCTTCAAACTATAAGATGAGCAAGCTCTTCTTCCCTTTTCAGGTATTTGATTGTAGTAAAGAGAAAACTAATTATTAGTAATACAGTTGGGGACATGAAAGACTGTCAATGAATATCAATATAATTGCTGAAACAAGAGACTGGCAACAGAGAAGTTTTGGGAAGATGAAACACCCAGGAGCCACTACAGTTTGATAAACAGTCCTTGAGCAAAAGCAGTTTGACATATAAATTTTGACTTTTTATGATGATGTAAAGGCAATATGCTTTCAGGAGAAGCTGTAATTCTAATTTTATATTTTTGTTCTTTTCCTGGCTACCATTGTGAGCCACCAAAATGAGCCATAGCTCCCTATAGAAGCCATGAGGGTAGGAAAGGAAACAACAGACATTTTACAGTGGGTGCTTGTTCTTGGGTATTATTTGGGGGTTGTTTTTAGACTAGCTCTCATCCTTGAGGATAGTAAAAGCCATGAATACTCAAGTAAGTATTTCATATAATATATATGCATATCTAGCTTATATATGATTTTCTATATACTACTTATAAACTATCTCTAATTACTTATGGTATCTAATACAATGTAAATACTGTAGGTTTGAGGAATGTGACATTAGCATTAAAAAATCTTTCTGGTCCAAGGTTGATTTGGTGCAGAGGTACAGATGCCCGACTATTATGTGTTGTCACTGATTTTCTGGATATACGTATTCAATAAATTGCATTAAATATTCATCAATTTGTCGTTAAATAGGCTTTGTATTAAATGGTGTTGTCCAACCACAGGGCAGTGTAAATGCTCTGGGTGTGTTTAAGACAGGTCAGGCTAGGCTGTAATGTTTGGTAAGTTAAGTGTGAGAATGCAATTGTTTTTAACTGAAGATAGATTCTTTTCATAAAATATATCTGATTATGGTTCCTCCTCTCCCAACTTTTCCCAAATCTTCTCTACCTCCTCAAATGAAATTTTAAATTTCAATATTATCAACTGATTAAATGGATTTATTCATGGTGAGTCAAAAAGCATCTGTATTCATAAAGTTTGATCATTACATATACCTTCCATTTTATAGCTGTAAAGTTAAGATTTGCTCTGTTTATTTCTAGAATGAGCAAGAAATTATTTTTGTAATATTTATGGTTTATTGTAGTGGTTCAAAGATCTCATAATTCTAGGGCTGAAGAAATGATCCAGCAGTTAAGGGCACTGGTTGCTGTTCCAGGGCATTGGGTTTAATTTTCAGCATGCATATGATGGTTCACAACCATCTATAACTCCAGTTCCAGGGAATCTGA